GGGGAGCCTGCTTCTCCCCCTCCCTCTGCCTGCAGCTCCCCCTGCTTGCTCTCTCTCTCTCTGACAAAGTCTTAAAAAATTTTTTTCTAAATGTTATAAAATATGGTTAGCTTAAAATTTCTAGATATTCTGATAATCTGTAACCAGTCTTTTGGAAGGAAAACAAAAAAAAGGAAATTTCATGTTTAAGAGTAAATGGACTAATCTTACAGGAAAAAACAAAAAGCTATTGTTGAAAGAACTTCTAATATCATACGCCCAACATTTAAGTATAATAAGGAACTTAAACAGGGACCCACTTTTCTGTGTATTTCACCAAATTTACTAATTTTATTTTCTGATATATTTTACTGTAAAAAGGTAAAGATATGGAAGCAGGTCACAGAGTTATACTGTGACATTATTTCAGTGTTATATCTCAAAGCACAATTCTCTTCTGTTAAGCTACTGGGCCATTAGCAACTGATGGCCGTTAGGGCTTGATAAAAGGAGGTAAAGAGGTATGAAAACTCATATATGTGAAAGGTCTATGAAAACTACAAGAAGCTACCACAAATGTAGCATGCATAATTGTTTCAGGTTTATCTTGCAGTGCATTTTAGGGTTTTTCTATGTACTTCATTTTGGACTCAAGGATTCATCAGACAATAAAATAAATGCTAGGCTTAGAAATGACCTACAGGACACTTAAGAATGCTAGTTAAAAAAGATAGTCATCAGGGTAAATATCTTTAAAAGCTTACATATACACGTGTGTATGTGTGTGGGCCACAATATACATACATATGACTATCTCATCTAAGGGAAGTGCACTGATGTCTACAATTTACTCTGAAATGTAAAATAAATCAGATAGAGTCTATGGATGAACAGGTATGCGGTAACACAAGTGAGGTAAAATGTTAATGGTAGAATCAAGGTGGTAAATATACAGATGTTCACCGTAAAATTTTTTCAACTTTGCTGAATATCTGAAACTTTTTATAATAAAATGTTGAAAAGACAATGTCAGATTACATAGCCAATGCAAAATACCAATCAGTTTATCTTGTTACGTTGCTTTGGTTACTATCTTACTTAGGATTGTAGATATGTAATATGCCATATTACTCCAAGACTGCGAAGTATAAGTTCCTAACATTTAAAGCATACATGTGTAAGTCTTCAAAACCTTCAAAATTGAAAATTAAATCTCTACTTTTAAAATGTGTTAAATTATAAACTCAAAGCAGACATGTTTCATAAACTGGCACTTCTCTAAAGATCATCAAAAATGTCACTTTCTCTGCAAGGTTAATGTGGTAAAAATGATAAAATGAATTGAAAAACTAGAACATTAAATAAGACTAATATGGAAGAGGTCAAACTGGATAAAGTACTTCTTGTGATAGGAAAAGTAGATTCAAAAGAAGCTAAATAGTAAAAATATCACACTGAAAATTCTGAATTCAATGGTAATATAGATAAGTGATTTTTCTCTAAGTTAAAATAAATTTCGCCCTTTCTAAAGCTGTATTAAGTACAAATCAAGTGTTAAACTCCTAAAATACAATAAAAAACAAATGCTTTGACGTGATAATCTGCCTTTATTCTTAGAAAGTGTTTAAATTGCTTATCTAGGATAGCACAGGAAAATAAAGATACAATATTTACATCAGTTGCATCCCAGTTTTCAGATGGAAAGAGAAATAAGTATTTACATACCTAATATTGTTTTTAAGAACTTTCAAGCAACTGAAGCATTTAAAGGTTGTGTAAGTCTTCTGTTCATCATCAACAGCTCCTTCATGTCTTCCATAGTAAAAGTCACTAACTAACATGATCAATTTTCCTTTCTCTGCACCAGTCTTTTTATTTTCAGTAATTGCAAGTTCTGCTTTAATCATTTCCAAAAATTTGTTTACCATGTCTGGACAACAACGCTGAAAGAGAAAAAAATATATGTAAGTTTTACTTAATCTCTTTAAAAAATTAGATAGAAAAAAATTGATTCTGTGTTTATAACTAGGGCCAGCTTATGTAAAACTATGCTTGGCAATATATCTGGAGAGAGTCACCAAAATGTTGGCTTCTTTCTTTATAGAGTCTAAAAAAATTCAAACAATAAACACCTCTTACCTTAATAAAGAAATAACTTCAAAAACAAATTAAAAACCTGAGGCCAGGAATGGCTAAATATCTAACACCATTTTCCTTGTAATTCCAATTTTCAGATGTAAATATTTTTTTTAAAGATTTTTTTTTTAATTTTTTTGACAGAGAGCGAGACAGCGAGAGAGGGAACACAAGCAGGGGGAGTGGGAGAGGGAGAAGCAGCTTCCCGCTGAGCAGGGAGCCCGACACAGGGCTCGATCCCAGGACCCTGGGATCATGACCTGAGCCGAAGGCAGACACTTAACGACTGAGCCACCCAGGCACCCCTCAGACATAAATATTTAATAATAATTTGATCCCTGGCCAAAAATCGTTCATATCTGTCAGGATATAGCTTAAAATGAAAGGTAGTTTTATTTTATTTTTTCTTAAAGATTTTATTTATTTGACAGAGAGGGAGAAAGCACAAGTGGGGGGAGCTACAAGCAGAGGGAGAGGGAGAAGCAGGCTTCCCACTGAGCAAGGAGCCCAATGCGGAGCTCGATCCCAGGACCCTAGGATCACGACCTGAGTCGAAAAGAGACGCTTAATCGACTGAGCCACCCAAGTGCCCTGGAAAGGAAGTTTTATATGCCATTCTGCACATGCTAAATTATCAAATAATATAGTAGTATTTTGGTAAAGCCTGGTTGGAACTAGACGCTGAGCACAGGTAACCTGCCATTCCCCAGATTCAAGGTACTGGAAAACGTATGGGACACAAAAAAAGAAGCATAAGTTATAATTTAAAAACCTCAACACAGTCTATCTAGAATGCTGAAATATGTTAAGGGGAAATCAATCTCATGAATAAAATTAAGACCTCATATAAACTGACCCTAATAGGGAATACTTTTTCTTTTTTAAAGATTTTATTTATTTATTCGACAGACACAGACACAGCAAGAGAGGGAACACAAGCAGGGGGAGTGGGAGAGGGAGAAGCAGGTTCCCCGCTGAGCAGGGAGCCTGATGCGGGGCTCGACCCTGGGAACGCCAGGATCATGACCTGAGCCGAAGGCAGATGCTTAACGACTGAGCCACCCGGCGCCCCTGGAATACTTTCATACATTAACTTTTAATTTTCAATGAGATAAAACTAGTTCATTTATTATATACAATTTTCAGTTGTGGAATTTCACTAGAATAATTCTTTAAGAGTAACTAGGGAGCAAAAATACAAACTTTTCTAAAAACCCAAATTACATACTTGCAAAGCAACCACAAAGGGAAAAACTTAGAAAAATAAAGAACAAAAAATTGTGACAGAATCAAGACCAATCAAACCTATCAGATCAATTAAATCCATCCTATCAATGAATACAGATGGGTGGGTTTAACTCAGCTACTGAAAAAAGAAATTTCACATAGGATCACAAAAGAAAAAATGACTCTGTGAAAATTAAGAAATATACCAAAAACAAAGTGATTGGAAGGCTTGAGGGGCGCCTGGGTGGCTCAGTCTTTAAGCGTCTGCCTTCGGCTCAGGTCGTGATCCCAGGATCCTGGGATGGAGACCCACATCGGGCTCCCTCTCCACGGGAAGCCTACTTCTCCCTCTCCCACTTCCCCTGCTTGTGTTCCCTCTCTTGCTGTGTCTCTTTCTGTCAAATAAATAAAATCTTAAAAAAAAATAAAAAGATAAAGAATATAACAGGCAAATGGTAATAATGAGAAAACAAGGGTTGTGAAATTGATGTCAAACAAAATTGAATCCAGGCCAAAAAGGGAACATTTAATAAAAATGCTAAAGGATACATTCACAATGAAGTTAAAAGAGATAGATCCGTCTATATCCTAAATAGTAACAGCCATAAAACAGAACTGTAAGATATCAAAGAAAATAGTGGTAATTTGAGACTTTGAGACCTACTCAAAAAATGACAGAGCAAATAGATGAATATAAATGAAGACACAGGAACCTCAATAACATATTAGTATGTTAGATCTGACTGATAACTATCAAATTCCATACTCCAAAAACAAATTAACACCCCTTATTTTCAAGTTTCTATGTAACATTCAAGAAAACAGCACATACAAATTTCAAAATGGGGAGAAAAGGAACCTGGGCATTGCCAGCAAAGAGACTGAGGTTTGAATCTCAGCTATGCCAATTAATTGGCTATAAAACAATGAGAAAAAGATCTGGCCTAAAGAATTTTCTAAGGATTAAATGAAATAATACTTTAAAGCTTAGTATGGTGTCTTAGATCAATAGGATGTTTGACTTACACTCCCAAAATTCTTCCTTTGGAAGAAAAGATTACCTTTGTGGTATACCAATCTCCTTACCTATAATAACAGCAAAAGATCATTCACAAATAATCTAAAATTCACATTTTTTTCAAAATGGAAATCCTTACTGTAATATTATATAAATTTAACTGATATATAAAAAATACATAAGCGGAATGCCTGGGTGGCTCAGTCGGTTGGGCATCTGCCTTTGGTTCAGGTCATGGTCCCAGGGTCCTGGGATTGAGTCCCACATTGGGCTCCTTGCTCAGTGGGGAGCCTACTTCTCCTTCTCCCTCTGCTGCTCCCCTGCTTGTGCTCTCTCTCTCTCTCAGAGACAAATAAATACAAAATCTTTAAAAAAAAAAAATGCATAAGCTAAAATGTGAAAGTCTCACTTATTTTTTTAATGACTAACAGTGCTATAAGAAATAAAAGCTACATTTTAGAGAATGCTTGCCACTTTCTTCAGGTGCAGAAATATATATAATGTGCTATGATTTGTGTATACAATAGAGGGAAAATAAGAACATTTATGTGTGCCTGTACATTCAGAAATTAAAGTCAAAGAAGACATAAAACAAATTAATAAAAAATGATTTCTTTTGCAAGTCCTATTGGGAACTAAGCAAACAGATGAAGTGGGATTCTTCACTGTATACCTTCTTTTTTATTTAAAATTTTTACTTTATTTTTTAAATTTTATTTTGTTATGTTAATCACCATATATTACATCATTAGTTTTTGATGTAGTGTTCCATGATTCATTGTTTGCGTATAACACCCAGTTATACGTGCCCTCTTTAATACCCATCACCAGGCTAGCCCATCCCCCCACCCCCCTCCCCTCTAGAACCCTCAGTTTGTTTCTCAGAGTCCATAGTCTCTCATGGTTTGTCTCCCCCCCCTCCGATTCCCCGCCTTCATTTTTCCCTTCCTACTATCATCTTTTTTTTTTTTTTTTTTTACATATAATGTATTATTTGTTTCAGAGGTACGGGTCTGTGATTCATCAGTCTATGCATCTATGATGCAAAACATAAAACATCAAGTATTTCTATACAATATTACATATTACATAGATTGGAAGATTGAAAACACTGGCAGAAGTTAATTTTTATATAAAACCAAAACCCGAAGTCCAGTTCACAGGAATCACCCTCAGGGAGGTAGAAATAGTGATAGATCAAATACAGTTTTGTCCAAGAATAAAGAAATTGTGTTTGGAATTTTATACTTCTTTTCTTTCTACATTTTTTGTAAAATGCTGAATTGCAATGAAAAAATTGCCGATCTTTGAAATAGCAAGCAATAACTTTTTCTAAGTTGCTTCTCTGCTTTGCAGTCTTCTCACCCCCTCTTTCCTGAATATAATCTACATTGCGTTTTTTCCTGCCTCCTTTCTCCCTTCTTGCCATTTATACTGGGCATGCAAGAAGAATACAGATTATCTTTCCACAGACACACAGAACACTGCAATATCTATTAAAATATCTTAAGTGGAATAATACCTAGACCTCATACTTCATTAGTACTTCTAAAATTACCTAAAACCTAATTTTAAGAGCTTCCTACACCAACGTAAAGGTAGAATTTATAACAACTATACAAACTATATTCTGGATTGAGTTAACACTGTGATTTCTTTTTTTTTTTTAAAGATTTTATTTATTTATTTGACAGAGACAGAGAGAGCAGGAACACAAGCAGGGGGAGTGGGAGAGGGAGAAGCAGGCCCCCCGCCGAGCAGGGAGCCCGATGCGGGACTCGATCCCAGGATCCTGGGATCATGACCTGAGCCGAAGGCAGACGCTTAACGGCTGAGCCACCCAGGCGCCCCAACACTGTGATTTCTTGAGAAATGCTCCACCATTATGAGTTTATGTCTGAGTGCTGAACATTAAAATGCAAGACTGAGATTTTGAGTAATGTGACATTCATATGTCACCAGACAAAAAAATCATGTTAAAAAAAAGGAGTTTTTAAGTTATAGGAAAGATTAAGCACAAAACAAAATGCCTGCTTTACAAGAGCTTTGAAGAATAGCGTGATCTAGTCAATAAAATATTCTGATTAATACATTATTGTCATTAAAAGTTAAAATACAACATGCATAGAGATTTTTTTTTCTTAAGTAGGCTCCACGCCCAGCGTGGAGCCCAATGCAGGGCTCAAATGCACCACTGTGAGATCAAGACCTGAGCAGAGATCAAGAGTCAGACACTTAACTGACCGACCCACCCAAGTGCCCTACAATATGCATAGAGATTCAAGTGTCACGTGTGAGTGCCATCCACCTGGGGACCCTACCCGACAAAGGCTGCAGCCCCTGCATGACTCAGTGGCTGTGGTACGTGGGACTCACTTAGCTGGGAACTGTTCGGGATTGAATAAAGTAATGCGATTAGAGGCCACCCCAGAGAGGGAGCGGATTCCCCCACCCCTGAACCATTTTTGCTGGTCGCGGCAAAGGATTTTCCAAACGAGATTTGCCACAGACATCTGCTCTACAAGTGGCAAAATGTCAGAAATGAAGAGAAAGAAATGTTAAAGATCTGAGAAATAAATGACTCACCTGGGAAAGCTCTAATACCCGCAAACACTCAGGGCTGTCACTAAGAGAAACATCGGACTTTCTGCAAAGTCTTCCAGATATAATACTTTAAAGAGGTCGGAGGTAGGTCTATTTCTTCCATTTCTTAAAGTACTACATACTGTGTTTAATGTATTCTCTCAAGCCTCAGAGAGATCAATGACAGTCACATCTCTTAGACAAAGCAACAACTAAAGCTTTGATCTAGCATCATTAGTTTTAAAGCAACTCCCACACATTGTCACTTTCACCTTACTTCAGCATCCAGCTCCAGAAAACAGATATTTTTACCAATAATTTTATGGTTGATAAAGCCATTATCACATCTAATAAAATTATCAAGGATTACTTCGTATCCTCTAATATTCCCCCAAAAATACAATATGCATATACGATAGTACATATAAGCTTAATTTTTAAGATTTCATGATTGGGAAAGATTTTTAAAATCTTGTATAAAGATAATCACTATGGGGTGCCTGGGTGGCTCAGTCAGTTAAGCAGCTGCCTTCGGCTCAGGTCATGATCCCAGGGTCCTGGGATCAAGCCCCACATTGGGCCCCCTGCGCTGCGGGAAGCCTGCTTCTCCCTCTCCCACTCCCCCCTGCTTGTGTTCCCTCTCTCGCTGTGTCTCTCTCTGTCAAATAAATAAATAAAATATTTTTTTAAATTTTATTTTATTATGTTATGTTAGTCACCATACATTACATCATTAGTTTTTGATGTAGTGTTCCATGATTATTTGCATATAACACCCAGTGCTCCATTCAATACATGCCCTCCTTAAATAAAATCTAAAAAAAAAGATAGTCATCACAAATATCAATTCTTACTTAAGTTATATAGAAATACCAATGAGAAGATTTCTTATCTAAATACCTGGACAAACGAGCATTTACTATATATCAATCCTTAATGTTTTCAGAGATTTGTCAATATTTTTAAAAATCAAATTTTGGAAAAAGTTTTACCTTCATGTGATATTTCAAAGGATCCAGAAGATTAAACTTTACATTGCACTTTGGACAAGATCTTAGAAAAGGTGTTCCAGTTTTATAGTGAGCTGATGAGGTATTTGTACCTAAAATAGATTAAGAACTTTTACGACTCAAATTCTTTTTTAAACATTAAACAACCAGTAAAAAAAAGTTTAAAAATTCATCAGAATTTCTAAAATTTATGTGTAAATAATACAATTTCTATTTTATATGCTAGATTCATATTTACCTTTTGATATCATAACATGGGAAGATGTCACTGGAGGAGAGTTAGTTAGAGACAGTGAAGCACAAGGACTTATTTCAGAAACACTTTCGCTGGTCTTTGGCTTTTTTGGAGTAACACTGTTTACTTTAGAAGCAGAAGAACGTTTTAATATAGGCAGAGTTTGATCTATACCTACAATGATTTAAATAGTGGGAAAAATATTTGTAAATATGTACAGAACACTGCTTACAAATGCTACTAAAATGGCTTTATATTTGAATTTAAGTAAAAACACTTTGAAGCTAAATTAAAGATAACATAATTGAATTATATCATACAAATGACAAAGAATGATCAAAATTTATATGATCAAAAAAAGAAAAAATTTATATGATCAATAGGTAAAAAGAAATTGTACAGCTATTATGAACTACACGTATTTGAACAATTCATGAAATAAACTTTTTATACAAGAAAATTCTAAAAATACTTTCAAATAAAGAAATATATAAATAGGTATAAAAGAGGTCAGACCAAAAGAATCCGAAGCAAAAAAATTAAAGCACAGAGAATGTTCTAAGCTCAGTTCCCAAAAATGAATTTATCTTTAGATGCTTAAATACATTTGGGCTTGGAAACAAAAACCATCTTTATTCTAAAAATTTAGAAAAACCCTTTAAGATACTTAAAAAAAACTTAAGATGTCTAATGGAAAACTCAAGTTGGTTCTTTTTCCACTTATTAACAATCTGATGGGTTTAAATTATCTGTTTACTCCCTATGAACAAAGTACAAACAACTAATCTTGAATAATACCTTGCTCATTCATATGAAAAGTCTTAAGAAGTTAGTATAATGGTCTTCAAATGATACTCCCCTGAGGCTAATGATTTTGCTTTAGGGAATACAGTAAGCATGTCAGATAGAAAAACTCTTTTACCTTTTTTAAAAAATCAGATTTTTACATAAAATTTTGTTTGAGGAGATTTCATCACTAAAGATAGTTCTGAGCTTGAAAACCATCACCTTAAAGGCTTAGGGATGGTGTAATTCAGGGCATTTGCAAGAAAAGTGGGGCTATTTAGGCTATAACCAGACACAGCAAAAGTCCGTTTGAAAATAACACACAATTGTACTTTGTGATAAAGATTCTAAAACTGCACATCGTATTTTAATGCTCCCAACTGTACACTAATAGGCGAAGCAGTAGAATAGAGAAATACAAGGAAAAGGAGAGCATCGCATTAGTGGGCTCCCTGTCAGATCTGTCTTTCATTCTCTGAGATAACAGAAATGATTTTTTTTTTTCCATCTGCAAGCACATAGTTACTGACAGCCATACTGCAGGCACTTGGGACTGATTTCTGTGTAATCACTAACATTTTTCTCAGATGCTTAGGTTACTTGAACAACCAATGAGTGCTGGTATTTTGGCAACTAGTTCTCTAGCAGGCTGTATAGTAAAAATAGACTGTTTTGTATATAATTTTTTTAAGCATGAGTAAATCTCCAAGTTAAATAAAATCACTCTGAGCTCAATAGTTTTAAATTCTAACCGTTTAACTTGTTTATTTCTATTGCCTCTGGCTTGTGCTGTTCACTATCTTCAACAGTGCCAATAAAAATCCTATTCTCATTCTTCAAAATCAAGTTCAAATCCAACCTTCTCCAAGAACCTTCTATGATCATCCTTGACAGGAGTCCATTAATCATGCTTCTGAACACATAATACGTACTATCATTCATAATTATCATTCTAAGAACTGTTTACTGTCAAGTTCTTTAAAGGTTTAAGGCATTTTTCATTTCTCACTTATCTCATTTGAACCTCAAAAAAGGCCTGAGATAAGTAGAGCAAGAATTAAAATTATATCTCCAAATGGTGACTTCAGGTCTGGAGAATGAATGTATTATCTGAGAAAGATAAAAGTATATATTTCAATAAAATGAGAAAATTGAAGTGTAAAGAGGTGACTCGATAAAGGCCACAAAAATCTTGAGGATACAGGCTCAAATCTACACCTTCCTAACTGACTATAACCCTATTTCCCATCAAGGCAAAGTTCCACTCTCTGCAATACAACAACTTACAGAGAGAGTAGGCATCACTGTTTTACCCCCTAGAATCTTCAAGAATTCAGACTTTTTTATGAATAAAGACCACGTACATTATAAAATCAGACTTCAGACAACTATTTTACTTCCTCATTTATTTTGGTTCTTGGCTATTTTACTAACTAGATAAGTGACACCTAGATAGGTGAATAACAAGCCATGTGTTATCAAAATGGGAAAAGTATTTTTGGCAAACATATTACTATAATTTTTTTTCTATTTTGGTTTGGTAAATGTATATGAATTTGTTAGTAAACAATTTAAACATTAAAAACTTATGTACCTCTGTCCAATTACTGAAATATAACAAATTTACTAATATACAAACAGCAATTGCTTTGATTATGGGGAATTTTTCAACTAAATAAAATTCTTTCATGGCATACTAATTTATTTCAAGTTAATGAAGAACTTTGTTATTGTACACAAAGAACTGTAATTCTTCAATTAAAAATTTACATTATTCTTTTAATGGATATTTACTAAGTACTTACTATGCACAAATTACTATTTTTGTAATACTTCCTTTTTATAATGATACTCTGTAATCATATTTAACTATCATATCAACATCATTTATTTGGAAAGAAAGACACCAGTCTATTAAAAAAATCAACTATAACCATGTACTTTTTCTCATACTAATGGCCTTCCAAATGATTAATACTTTTTTTAAAAAAAAAATGATAGTATTAGGTCATTAGGAGACTTCCTGGACTCACAGAATTTATATTAAGATTTTTCAGCCCATGGCTGGCTCTAAGTGAGAATGAGCTCAAAAAATACATGTTAGCTAACTTAATAGAAAGAGATACAATATTCTATTATTAAATAAGAAATCACACAAGAAAGGCATTCAGGGATTATTAGCTTCTATTTTATGGTATATGAAAAACTTAACATGAAGGTATGGGTTTCAAAATAAAAATTCATTCCACATCTATATTCATCAAGTTTCTTTTTATTATACTCAAAAAAAGTGCTAAGCCAAACCTTCTATATAAATTGTTGATCCCTCTTGGGACAGTGGAATTGTATCCTGGGTCAAGTCAAATAGTAAGTCTGAAGAATCATCCGATTCAACTTGTAATGAATTCTTTGTAAAATCCTGTAAAAAGTTATAATTATTTTGTTTCATAAACTTTTATAAAGGTAAATTTAATTGTATGATAATACTATAAAGATAACACCTTAATAATTTAATTACTAATAAGCTATAAAACACTAAGGTAATTATTATTCTGTCAAAGTTAGCATTTAGTGGGTAAGGGTTATATGGGAACTCTCTGGATTACTTCTGCAGTTTTTCTATAAATCTAAAATTAGTTTGAAATTAAAAGTTAAAGTTAAGAAATAATGACAATATTATTGGCAAAGTAGACATGTTTTGGTACAACTTTTCTGCAAGAAAATTTTGGCAATATCTATCAAGGGCTTTAAAAAGTTCATATCCTTTGACCCAAATATTCCACTTACACTAATTTATGCTAAGGAAATGAAAATATTTAATGGAGAATTATTTATAATAGCAGAAAATAAAAACCTGTATGTCCAACAATGGAGGAATGGTTAAATAAATTAAACGACAGACTATAATGCAACATCATGCTTTTGAAAAATAACCAAAAACAAAGAAAAATGTTTCCAATATAAAGTTCAGTGAAAAAAGAGGAGCACATATCTGTGTACAAAATATAATCCTGATTGATATATTCTATATACCACACTAACCATCTGCAAAAAAGAAAATTAAAGTACAGTATGTATTGTCTTGTTTCTTTTCTAACTACCGCCCCCATACACAGTACCTTTATAAAATAGGAATATAGGGATCTTGCTTGCGTGTTTTGTGCTTACAAGTTGAGAAAAAATCAGGTTTTAAGAATTTTACTTTGTTATTGTTTTCTGTTTACATGGGCTTAGTAAGAAGTTATAGAGACAGATATTGAACTGAACCAAACCATTCCATTCCTAGAATCTGAGCATAACAGGCAGATTTCTGCATTTGAGCCTTAACATGTACTATAAAAAATGGCTGTATGACTCAATGATGGCTTTATGACTTAACTGTAACCAAGCATAATCTTCTGCAAGGTAAATATTTTCTCCAAATATGTGTACTTACAAATGGAAAATATTCACTAGCAATTCTCCAAACAGTTCTTTCACAGAAGTTCCTCCAAATAAAGTTAATACTTCATTTTTTTTCTAAAGATTTTATTTATTTATTTGAGAGAGAGAGAATGAGAGAGAGAGAGAGAGAGCATGAGAGGGGGTAGGGTCAGAGGGAGAAGCAGACTCCCTGCTGAGCAGGTCGCCCGATGTGGGACTTGATCCCGGAACTCCAGGATCATGACCTGAGCTGAAGGCAGTTGCTTAACCAACTGAGGCACCCAGGTGCCCCTAAAGTTAATACTTTAAACCTTTTCCTAGGTGATAACTCTGTCCAATTAAGTACCATTATTTCAGAGAGCAGACATATTAGTCAACAAATAACTTATTAAAATAATTCTCTAATTGGGAATTTTTTATATCTCATAAAATAGTTCAGCAAGATACCAAATACAACAGTGAGGTACAACAGGCAATAGACTGGGATTTAAAAGACCTCCATTTATTTAACTGTGGAACCTTGGGCCAGTCACTTGAGATTCAAGTTTTCACCTTTCCAACTGAAATAATAGCTGCCAATTGTCTATTTAAAACGTACTTGACTTTTACAGTCCATGTGTTTTATATCAGGTAGTTGTCACAACAGTACTAATAAAGACCTAATATTATCTCCCACCTTATAAATAGGTAAACTAAAGTTGAGTATAGTTAAGTAAGGTTCCCAGTACAATCCAGCTTGTTCTCGATGATGAAGCTGGAATCGGAACCGAGGTTGGCCTGATTATAAAGCCTGTGCCCTTGGGACACCTGGGTGGCTCAGTCGGGTTAAGCGTCCGAATTTTCTTTTCTTTTTTTTCTAAGTAGGCTCCACATGGCATGGAGATCACGACCTGAGCTGAGACCAAGAGCTGGAAGCCTGAGTCACCCAGGCACCCCAGGCATCCATCCTATTCTTGATCTCAGCTCAAATCTTGATCTCAGGGTCCTGAGTTTAAGCCCCATGGGTGTGGAGCCTATTAAAAAAAAACCACAACAACAACCTGTGCCCTTAAGCTATATCACACTGACATGAAAAGGGACAGTAACAATTATCTTCTAGACTGCCCTGAAGAGTTGTGGTAAAGAGAAGAAAAAACTTAAAATTTTCAGAGAAAATTCCCTCACATAGGATTCTCAATTTATTTGAAAATATAGATCTGTCATTCTCCACCCTGGCTCACATTAGAATCACCTGGAGAGTTTAAAAAAAAAAAAAGTCTATCATGCCCAGGCCTCACCCCAGATCAAATGATAAAATACTGTTTTGTTTTTTTTTTTAATTTTTTTATTTGACAGAGAGAGAGATAGCGAGAGAGGGAACACAAGCCGGGGGAGTGGGAGAGGGAGAAGCAGGCTTCCCG